GGGCCTTGCACATGGTAAGCAAGCACTATACCAACTGAGCTATAGCCCCAGCCTCTGGTGCTTTTTTTTAAAAAAAAAAAAATTGTCAAAGAAAAGTCCACTAGATGAAGAAACCTAAACTAAGTAGTATTTCCTTCATATTTCTTATAAATAGATGTCTCTCTAAATATTGGGAATATTTGATTGTGGATTGTGAATATGTTGAAGTTTTCTATGCAAATGATGTCTAACAAATGTTCTCAATAAATGTTAGTCACCCACCTTCCACTCAAAGTACTTTCTATGTAAATCAGGCTCAGTGTTCCACCCTAGGAGGTAGGTTATTCCTGATTAGAAAGGAGATCAAGTCTGCTCCTGGGACCACATGTGTCTGCTTCCAGGTCCAGGCTGTGTGCTTCCAGCCTGGCTTGACCTTTCCAGGCACATCAGCATTTACCTCTGCTAAGCCTGCTCTCTTCATTGTCTCTCTCTCTCTCTCTCTTTTTTTTTTTTTTTTTTTTTGGTATCAGGGATTGAACCCACGGGCACTTGTTCACTGAGCCATATTTCCACTCCTTTTTTATATTTTATTGAGAGACAGGGTCTCACTGAGTTGCTTAAGGCCTCGCTAAGTTGCTGAGGCTGAGTTTGAACTTGTGATCCTCCTGTTTCAGCTTCTAGGATTCCAGGCATGCTCAAGGGTGCCTGGCTCACTTTGTCTGTTTGCAACTGGGTAATCACTTTGGAAGCTACAGGAGAGTCCTCTTGCTTCCAGACTGCACATAGACCAGGAGGCATGTGGAAAAGGTCACTGTGTCATCCAATGTGACTTGTCCTCCAACAAACACTCATACAAACCATGCTGGATTCTAGTAGATAAAAGTCTGTCCAGATCTTGAACAAGTCTCCTAGCCCATGATGGAACATGAATTCAAAGGGCATCACCATGTTGTGTGGTGTGAGGGATTAGTTTCTGGTTTTCAGGATTATTTTTACTGTCTTGATAAGTGACTGAAAGGTGTCCAGGTCGACATGCTTGGCTATTCTGATGCTTACCTGAAATGCTTAGAATTAAAAATATTTGGGAGTTTTTCAGATTTTGGAATAATAACATACACCTCATGTGTTTGGGATGGGAATCAAGCCTAAACATGAAATTTTAATTTGTGTATATGAGTGTATGTGTGGGGGTGGTCTGCAGATTGAACCCAGGGATGCTTTAACAGTGAGCTCAATTCCCAAGTATTTTTATTTTGAGATACAGTCTCATTAAATTGCCAAGTTTGGCCTTGACCTTGTGATCTACCACATTGGCAAAGAAAAAGAAAATGCTTCCCCTCAAAATTTGTGGCTGACCAACCTTTTCATAAATACCCTTTTATGAGTTTTCTTGAACAGCCATGTCAAATTACCACACATTGTGTGGCTTAAAGCCACAAAGTTTACTTTCATAATTCTAGTTATTTGTTTCCAGCAGCTTCTGGCTCCAGGTTTCCCCTGCATGGTGGCTGCTTCGTTCCAATACTGCCTCTATCCTCAGATGGCCTCTAAGTGGGGTACCCTTTGTTGAGCTGTTGATGTTGGTTTGGGACATGCTGCATTTGACCTTCCTGTGGGCTAGTCAGAGGGAAGTGTCCATGGAAGTTAGGCTGAACAGGAGTGGTATGGTAGATTCATGGCCTTTCATCCAGGTGTGAATGTGTCTATATTACTTATATCTAATACAATGTAAGTGCTATGTAAGTAGTAGTTTTATTGTATTGTAGAGGGACTCATGAAAAGAAAAATAGCCTGTATGTGTTTAGTACACATGAAATACATCTTTCAGTGGTTGAATCCACACATGTGAAGCCCTCAGATGTGAAGGGCTGGTGGACCCGGGGAAGTCAAGCTGCTAAGCACATGGCCAGGTCTAGGGGAAGGGAAAGCTCTCTGCGGAGCTCTGCCCTAAGCCAAGCACTGTGCTGAGTGCTCTAGCTAATTAAATGCTTGCAAGAACAGAGGAGGAACTGCCATCCCAGTTTTTAGATCAAGAGCCTGAATGGCCAAGTGGCCCAACTGGGATCCAAACCCTGAGACATCTGAGTAGACACCAGGCCTTGGTTGGCTTCTGCAGGCTGCATACCCAGGGGGAGCATGGGAAAAACACTCACCTAGGGCAGTTACTGAAGGCAAAGGAGGTATGCATTGGAGCCTTCATGGAGCAAGGGTTGCCCTAGTCACATCAGGAAGTAGTTTCTCACCACTGCTCTGATCTGGGCATCTGCTCCAGTCTTTCCATCTGAAGAGTTCCTTGTGGCCCTCAGCCCACATGGCTGACCTTGGCACCAGTAGCTTCTGAGATCCACATGTTACAACCTGGACACCAGAAGCGTGTTGAAGCCCTCTTCTAAATCCCAGCTTCTGGTTCCTGATTGGCAGAGGTAGTGTGTGGTATCTGTCTTTTGGGGGCCAGATCCAAGTGAGTTCTCTTGCAGGAACATGGCAGCTTACTGGTGCAGTCCTGGGATGAGGAATGGGTCTAGGAAGGGAGGTTTCCAGGCCAGGGGAACTTGGTAGGTAGTCCAGGAGGCAGCTACTCCATAAGCTTTGCTCTTGATTCTTTGGCAGCTACTCCATTCTTTGCTCTTGATCTGATGCCCACTCCTAGTTCCTTCTTGCTCCTACCTTCAATTTGTCTTGACCTTTACTCATGCAAATTCAGCTTCTGTCCTCATGTCTCTTGCACTCTGTGGTTGCACTCTCTGACAATAATCCACCGCTATTGCCTGAAACTCTACATGTTTTTGTATTCGAAATGCTCAGATAATTCAATGGCTTTGCATAGATTTCCACACCACATCATTTCAAACTCACTGGTTTACTGGCTACTTTAGGGGACCCAGTTTGTATTCAGGCATCTGTCAGGTGACCCCTTTCTACAGGTCTTTAGGCTGAGTGCTTTCACTTTGGGCATAAACAGGGGATGGTACCAGAAGGAGACATCCACCGTACCTAGCTTTGCCATGATGCTCCTTCCAAAAGGCTTCCTAAGCTTTTCTATGCTGAAGTCCACTTATGGTACAACATTAGACCCTTGAGATTGCCACAGGGTGCTGAAGACATTTGTCCATCTCAACAGAGTTCCAAATGTACTGTGTCTTAAACAAGTTAGAGTATTATTCCTTGCTCAAATATGAAATAGGGAATGAGTAGTCCAGAGCAGATTGGATGGGGACGAGGCTGCTTCTGACTCGCTGTTCCATCATCCCTCAAGTGTGGGCCTCATCTTCATGGATCAAGCTCTCTGGTTACCACATTCCAGCCAGTCAGAGGGGGAAAATGCGTCCCCTTCACTTTCAATGCAGGAGCCAGAGTTTGCACCCTTTGCCTTGCTAATAGCTCATTAGCCAGATCTTAGTTGCTTGGCCACACCAAACTCAATGGGCACTTGGAAATGGAGTCTGTCCCCTGGGTGGTTCGGTGCCCAGCTAAAATTTGGGAGTTGTGTTACTAAGGAGGAACAGAACCTAGATATGGCGGACAATGGTACCACCATTCTCCTGTCACCCATTTCTGATGCATCTCCGTGGGTATGTCACCCCATCTTGGCATGCCCCAGTTCCTGATTCCTTTCCTGCAGGGCTCTGTCTTCATCCCCACCCAAATTGCTATATACCCAGTATCTCATAGGAACCTTCCAACTGATCCCTTTGCTTCCAGTCTCCCCCTGTGATCATCAGAAGAAGTAAAACTGATTAAATGGCCCCAATATTCAGAAATTTTTCATTGGCTCCCACTGCTCATCGCAATTTGCTTTTTGGGTTTTTTTTGTTTTTTTTTTCCTGTACTGGACTTGAGCTCAAGGCTACTCTACCACCAAGCTACACCTGCAACCCTTTTTATTTTATTTTATTTTTTGTACCAGGAATTGTACACAGAGAGGTTTCACCACTGAGCCCTGTTCCCAGCCCTTTTTACTTTTTGAGACAGGCTCTCACTAAGTTGCCTAGGGCCTTGCTAAGTTGCTGAGGTTGGCTTTGACCTTGAGTCACTGGGATTACAGGCACACACCACCATGCCTGGCCTTTTTCAATTTTTGTTTTGAGACAGGATCTCACTACCTTGCTGAGATGGGTCTCAAACTTGCTAACATCCTGCCTCAATCTCCCGAGTTTCTGGGATATAGCTATGAACCACTGTGACTGGCAGGGGGGTACATAGGATTTCTGAATCTTTGAAGTTAGTAAATTTTGCACAGATGTGCATTTTTCTGAGAGCTTCCATTCTCCAAGTGGTCTGTGAAGCAGACTTCTGGAGTTCTAGGCTCAAGTCCTAATTCTTAAGATTAACACGTGACACATCTCCCCACTTCACCCCCAAATCTCATCTCTGTGCACTTCTCCCACACAACTAGAGTCATCCTGAAGTTCTCTCCTTGCTCACCAGGCCACACCTTTTCACGTGCCCAGTGCAGGGTCTGCTGCTCTGTCCCCAGTGCTCTAGCTAGCTCCCACCCACCCTTATGGCTTTGTCCAAAGCCACCTCCTCTGGGAGCTTTCCTGACTTCCTCTGGCAGCCAGTTCCCACAGCACTGTGCAGTCCTACTCCCCTGTGAACTGGGAGGAGGTGTGGAACTTTGAAGAAGAGGGGTCTAGTGGGTGGTCTTTAGGTCAATAGGGGATGTGCCATAGAAAGGAAGTGAGGTATTTCTAGGGGGATCCTGGTTAGTTCTTTTATGAGGGGCTGTCAGAAAAGCTGGAACTCAGACCATCCAGCTCTCCAGCTTCCTGTTTTGAGATGTGATTCTTCCTCTTCCATGAGCTCCCATCATCTGTCCTAGGTCCCTTGCCAAAGCCTCGGCCATGAGGATTAGACTTACAGCCTTCAAAACTGTAAGCAAAATAAACCTCTTTTTCTTCATAAGTAGGCTGTCTCAGGTATGTTGTTATAGAAATTAAAAAAATGAACTAATGTAGACCTGCACTGCGAGTTCCCAAGAATCAATAGCAGAGAAATGCACAGAAATTTTGAGACAGAAGACTGAGAGGCAGCACTTTTAATATACAAACAGTAAGGACAGGCCAGAGCCCTGCTACCTGAACTGAGGATGTAGCCCAATAGCCTCAGCATCCTCTGGAAACTGGTCAGAAATGCAGACTCTCAGTCCCCACCCCAGACTTACTTCTTTCTAACAAGGTTCCAGAGGATTTATATGCACATTAAAATTTGCAAAGCATGGGGACAGAGAATGTATAATTGTAGTTTTTTGCTCTAACAACGTGTTTTGTGGTCAAAATAAATCCATTTAAAGCACTTTTCCCCCTCATTATTTGCCCCAACCTCTTCACCTCTGAGCAGCATCAACACACATGAATGCTCTTGCTCTGAGTCTTGGCGTCATTTGAATCACAATAGCATAAAGAAGTTTTCCACACCATTTCTGAGGACAGCCTTTACGGGTTATAAACTGGATTCCAAAACTTCCATCAGCAGTTTGTTGTGCAGCACCTCCAGGAGGTAGGTTGTAGGATGATTTCTGCTTTTAGAGATGATGAAACCAGGGTCCCAGGAAGCTTTGTGACTCACCCAATAAGTGCCATGCAAGTTAGCATTCCAGCCACAAGAAAAACTCATGCTTTTGCGTTTTCAGCAGGAGGCTCACCAACCTGGATGTCTCTTTTCTTTTTATATAAACGGGAGATTTGTGGGTTTTTTTTTTTTTTTTTTTTTTTGGCATAAGAGATGTTCAGAAAGAACAATTCATAGATAATCTATGTGAGCTACTGAATATGAACCATGCATGTGTGGGGCTAGAGAACAGGGAATTCTCAAGAAGGAATTGTCCAGTGGAGAGAGGTCAGTGTGGGGAGGGCCCTGCCCTGTGCACCCACTCCTGCTGCAGCTATGGCTCAAGGGCTCTTCAGCTAGGAGCCCTGACACCTCAGAGCAGATGCTTGCTCACAGGAACAGCACTGGGGATTACTGTGAGGCTATGGATGATCGTGGTGGCTTCTGAATGACAATAATCCATCTCCAGGATCTCACTTGGATTCGTTTCCTCTGTGGGCTGGGAATAGCTGATAGAACTGGACCCTGCCACTCTGTGATGCACATCATTGACTTGGACTTCTTGATTAATTCCATTTCTAGGGGCAGATTGGAGCCACTAGATGACTCAGAAATGGTCAAGAGTGTTATAGTTTGCAATGATGCCAATATGCTTCTTCCACCTTGTCTGAATTCAAGATTCCTCTGTCAAGCCCCAAATGGGATTCGCTCATTTTCACCTGACTTCATAGTCATTTCCCGAAGGTCCTCTTGAGAATGATTCAATTCCTTGCCATCCTCTGTAGACATGCATATTCAATGGGATATATATATATATATATATATATATATATATATATATATTTGATTAAAAACAAAATGACAGTGCATTTTAAAATTTCTTGTAAAAAGTATTGCTTTTCTAATGTGCTAATGTGCTCCTGCCTGCCTGCCACATGGTGTTGCCAAGGCAGAGTCACAAGGAATTCAAGGCTGAAGATGTTTGGGATTTGGGCAGAAGCTAATGCACCCCGCACTCTGCACCTTGCACCCCACTCTGAAACCCTTGTTGTTCTGGGGCTTGGCCTTAGGCGTAAACTACAAAGCATCCTAATGAGCAGAATTACACAACAGGAATGTATGTGCATATTTGACATAGTTTCTTCTCTTGAGGGGCGACCCTCAGGCTTTGACCCTGTCCTCTCCAAGGGCAAAGGAGGAGTGCAGAGAAGGAGCCTTTTCTTCCTGGCTGCTGGTTCCTCTGCAGCCTCTACAGCCCCAGGGACCTGCCCCGCTCTGCGTGGGCATGCAGAAGGCCTGCAATTTCCACATGGGAAGGTGATTGCAGAACGATGGACAGAGCGGTGTGGCCAGCCTACAGAGGAGGAAGAAAGGAGAAATACATTGTACCCTATCTGCCTCCAGATCCAGCGAGAGAGCGGGATAGGGGGCACGCCGGAGCTGGGATCTCTGCTCTAGGATGGGCTCCCTGTAGCTTGAGCATGTGAGGGAACATTTCTAGGCCTGTTTCCCTATCAGCAAATGTGAGGATCACTGTGCCTGCCTCGCTGGATCATGAAGAGGAGGAAGAATGATGCGTGGGAAAGGTTTAGTTCCCTTGAGCACTCCAGAAACTGTGCCTCCCGTAGCTTCTGATGAGTGGTCTCTAAAGTTTGGGGTTCACTTATTCAATTGATGATTCATTTGCTGATATGCGGTAGACTCTCTGAAAGATGCAAAGATTCACCTGAGACCTAGAGATATGCTGCTTCCATGGGACAACAATGAGGATGGTGGGAGAGCTGGATGTTGGGCTCAGGAGTTCAAGGGAGGTGGGTTCCACCAGCTGTGTGATCTTGGGTACTTTACCCCTTGAACCTTACTATTTAGGACCTCAGTTTCCTCTAGCAAAATGGTGGCAGCTATATCAACCTCAGAAGGTCATCGTGGGTTTAAATGATTTTGGCACAGGTTAGTTATCATCATCATCATCATCTCTTCATCATCATCATTATCATCATCAATGTCCTCACCTTACTGAGACCTTTATTTAAGAAACCTGGGTTTAGCAGGGCTATTTCGCAGGCTGGCTCGGTGGAATGGGCCAGTTTGCAGAGTGGATCAATATCAGAGAGGTATTTCCAGTTTCACAACTAGAGATGACTCTGTAAAGTTTGGTCCTTCGTCCAGTTGTCCAGAGCCGTGGGTTTCCCAGCCGTCAGGCTCCAAGCACTGTATTGCCTCATTAAATCTACAACAGCCTTGTGAGGTTGATTTTTTTTTTGCTACCACTGTATGGTTCCCTGGATTCTGCTGGCCATCGAGGCACTTTTCAGGACCAGAAGTTAAACACTAACCTACTTGTTAACTGCCCATAAGTCTCACCTTATCAGTCAGGCTGCTGTCACAAGCCGGGTGGGCCAGGAGCAGGCGCACCAGGTCGGCGTTGCCATGGTGACAGGCCATCATGAGAGCTGACAATCCATCGTGGTCCTGCAGGTTGACGTCTGCCTGGCAGCTCAGTAGCGCTTGGACCATGTCCTCCCGGTCGTGGGTGACCCCCAGCATCAGGGCGGTCTGGCCTCCCTGCACATGGGGCAGAGGGGATATGTTGAGGCTGCTGCCAGTGCCAGGGTGCTCAGCAGGGACTCCTCAACAAAGTGACCATTCCTTCCAACGTGGCTTTCCTTCTCTGTCTGGCAGAATTCTACTTCCCCAGGGTGCTAGTCAGGTACTCCATCTGCTCTAAAGGCTTTCCAACCCGCCCCCCAACACCACTACCCAGGTGGGATTCATCACACTGGGCATCACAGCTTGTCAATCTCTCCTGTTCTCAAGGCTACTGAACCTCCTAGCTACACCTCCTGTAGTTTCTGATGATTGGACTCCAAAAGTTGGGGTTCACTTATTCAATTGTTGTTTCATATGCTGATATATTGGCAGGGACTGTCATCTTTGTCTGTTCCACAGTACCTAGCACCCAGCACTGATACATGTGGAGCCATGGGGGAGATGAAGGTTGAGTGCTTCAGCGGCCTGCCTTCCTATCACTGCCCTGGCCCAGCCTTCCCCAGGAAGCCTTGGTCTGCTCCACGCCTCTGGTCTTTTTAGATTAATGATGCCCAGAAGCCTTTGTTTCAATAAGCACTCATGTCCCTGTGGCTTTTCTAATCCATAGTCATTGACATCCCTGTGATCACCAGCGGACAAAGCAAGAGAATCCGAAAGCGAGTCCCATCTCCAGCTCTGCCGGCCACCAATGTGGGACACTGGCTGACTCGATGCCTTCCCTGAATTCTAACTTTGTTTACAAAAGAATGGCCTTTCTGAGTGTATCTCACAGGACTTTTGTGGGAATCAAATAAGATAAAGGATGTAAATAGAGTAATGTGTAGGTGGTAATTTTTCTGATTAAAAACTGACAATTTCTTATTTCCCATAGATTTTCTTGTATATACTATTTAAATTTTTGTATTGGTTCTTTTTAGTTTCTCATGACAGTAGAGCGTATTTTGACATATTATATATATATATATATATGGAGTATAACTTCCCATTCTTGTGGTTGTACATGAGGTGGAGTTACACTGGTTGTGTATTCATATGTGAATGTAGGAAACTTATGTCTGATTCATTCTACTCTTTCCCATTCCCATCTCCCTTGTATACACTATTTACATGTCGATATTTTCCTATAGGCCTCTTATACGGATTTATTATATTTTGCCCCTGTGGTTCTCCTGAGTTCCAGACAGGTCAGTGATTTCTCTCTGATGGGATACTGGGCTTTGTAAGATGGCAAGAATCAGGCAAAGTCTGTGTTTTCTTTCCTCTCATATACCTTGTGACTCTGAATGCCATGTCTAAAAAGAGCTGAGGACATGTTTGCTGCTGTGCTGGCTGATTACAACCCAATCTACAGTCCCTGTGCATTCTGCTGCACTGTTCAGCACCCTGGGGCTTTGAAGAAAGAAAAGGGGCTTGCAATCAGAAAAATCCAGGCTCTGCCAGTTAGGACCCACATGAATGTGTGCAAGATATCCTCCATATCACTCCCTGGTCAGGGAAGACAGGAGTGACCAGCATTCTTGGACTAGTGGACTTGTAGTGAGCCCTGGGCATGTGTTACCTGTCAGGGTCTTCATGCTGGTTGGAGATGGTGTATGGCAATTGCCCAGTTTGTGGTGTGCATTACTAAACGTCCTAGTCCCCCACTTCTCTGAAATCCAGTCACATCTTTCCAGAGAAGCCTGTGTACATTTTTGGTGTGTTTTACTCAGCCCCAAGGTAATGGTTGTTCATGGATGAACCCAACCATGATTTTCCATCCAGACCCCTCTCCCCAACTGTCAGTTAACCAAATGGCATTTGCAGCTTGCCCTCCCATCTGCCCCTCTTCTTGACGCAGGATTCCTTCTTCCCTCACTGTTTCTCTGGTCTAGCTCAATACACTTTAATTCAGTGGTCATTTACAGAGTATTACTGGTCACCAGGCTCTGCACTGACCCTGGAGATACAAAGAAAAAATAGTAACTTATTCCTAGGAGACTCCCAACTCCATTCCATTTTACCTGGCCTCTCCACCTGTCCTCATAATTAGAGGTCTTATAGTAGCCACAAGGGGACAGCTGCAGCTATGAATTCCCATCCCTTGTTGGGGGAGCTGGGGCAACTCCCTTTCTCTCCTAGAGCACAGGTGTTTCCTCTGAAAAAAGAATAAGTTGGCCTTGATCACTGCTGAGCATCCCTCTTAGAAGAGGCCAGGTTAGAGAAAAATTCACATTTATGGGAAAAAATATTATTTAAAATGAAAATAGCTATAGGGAGTCTTGTGAAATAGGAGTTGTAGGTGAGTGAAAATACTTTGTAAACCAGAAAGTGATCTACAAATATCTGTGTGTGGCTATCAGGAGGATGGCTATTGGATGGATGAAGTGTCCAAAGTGGCTTTGCCATCAGGTTAGGTCTCTGCAGTTGTATTGGGGGAGTGTGGAACAGTGGAGCTGAGTCAGTTTTGCATGGGGTTTCTTGCCTTTCTCCATATCTAGTTTCAAATACTATCTGTTTAGTCTCTCTTTTTCTTTTCTTTTTTTTAATGGTACTGGTATTGAACCCATGAGCCCAGGAGCATTCTGCCACTGAGCTGCATCCCAATCCTTTTCCTTATTTTACTTTGAGCCTCTCACCAAGTTATCCAGGCTGGCTCAGATTGTCATCCCCCAGCCACACTCAATCTCCTAAGTTCCTGGGATGACAGGCATGTGCACCCAGTTTAGATGATGTTTTTAAGGGTGTTTGTATAGCAAACAGTCCTGGAAGATAGAGGTGGTATCTTCTTCTAAGACATTGCCCAATATAAGAGATAAAAGGCTGAGACAGGAGGATCTCAAATTTGAGGTCAGCCTCAGCAACTTCACAAGATCCTGTCTCAAAATAAAATATAAGAAAGGACTGGGGAGGGGCTCGGGTTGTGGATCAGTAGTAGAGCACTTGCCTTGTACATGTGGGGCACTGGGGTTGATCCTCAGCATCACATAAATAAATAAAATAAAGATACTGTGTCTACCTACAACTAAAAAAGAAAAAAGAAAAAGAAAAAGAAAGGGCTGGGATGTGGCTTAGTGGTTAAGCATCCTTGTGTTCAATCTCTGGTATAAAAAAAAAAGGATAAAATCTCAGATACTTCACAGTTCTTGACAGTTATGCCATCATCTATGTTCACTCCAAAGGGACAGGAAAGAGGCTGGGGTTGTGACTCAGTGGTAGAGCGCTGGCCTAGCATGTGTGAGTCCCTGGATTCGATCCTTAGAACCACATTAAAATAAATAAATAAAACAAAGGTATTGTATCCAACTACAACTGAAAAATAAATATTAAAAAAGGGGGACAGGAGAGTGAAATGTACACTATTCATTCCTGTGTGGTCAACATGGCAAGTGACCTCTGGAGGGATCCCCACTATTCTATGCAGTACCTTGTCCAACTCAAAGTCCTGCTAGGTAAGACCACACACCTGCCCTGTGTTCTCCAGAAGAGGATTCCAGACCCCAAGGCTCTGATTGCCTTGAATACCTTTGCTGCTCACAAGATCTCTCTTGGTGTGAACCTAAAACAACTTCTACCTATTCACTCTATGGGAAGTTCAGAACACTGATTTTGGGTCACATTTATCAGAGTTGCTTGGGGTAACAGACAGGCTGCTTGAGAAGAGCATAGAGTTCCTGACATTGGAGGTCATGGGCTCAGAGAGCATTATAATGAAGCTGGAGGCTGGGTGCCCCTGGCACACGCCTGTAATCCCAACAGCTCAGGAGGCTGAGACAGGAGGATGTGAGTTCAAAGCCAGTTTCAGCAATTTAACTAAGCCCTAAGCAAGTGGGTGAGATCCTGTCTCTAACTAATATACAATAAAGGGCTAGGGATGTGGCTCAGGGGTGAATGCCCCTCAGTTCAATCCCTGGTAATAATAGTAATGATGATGATGATAATAATAATATGAAGTTGGAGACTATTTGGTATTTTACAAATTAAAAAAAAAAAAGGAGGGGGAGGAAATCACCGAGGTGACTTTCAAGTATTGTTCTTACCAGAGGCAAAGGTACCCAGTGAGTTAGTGGGCCCATGTGTCCTAGTAGACCCAAATGTCCTGACTCTTTGGCTACTATCTTTGTTGTAGGGACCTTTTGGCTCTTGGCAGAAATTACTCTTAGCATCTTGACCCACAGTACTGTTCCTGGGAACCACAACATGATTTATATGCCCAAAACAATGTCATCACACTGGTTGGTGGAGAGGGAAGAAAGACAGGGAAATTTTCTTTATTTTTCTTTTTTATTCTTTGGGTACCAGGGATTGAACTCAGGGGCACTCAACCACTGGTCTGCATCCCCAGCTCTTTTTTGTATTTAGAAACAGAGTTTCATTGAGTTGCTTAGGCCTCAGCTTTTGCTGAGGCTGGCTTTGAACTCACAATCCTCATGCCTCAGTTTCCCAAGCTGGTGGGATTACAGGTGTGTGCCACTGCACCTGGCCCTCAGGGATGTTTTCTTTTCATTGTCTTTTTTCCTTTTTCCTTTTTTTTTTTTTTTTTTGTTACCAGGAATTGAACTCAAGGTCACTTAACCACTGAGCCACATCCCCAGTCTTTTTTTTATGTTTTATTTTGAGACAGGGTCTTGCTAAGTCCTTAGAGCCTCATGAAATTGCTGAGGCTGGCCTTGAACTTGAGATCCTCTTGCCTCAGCTGTCCAAGTTGCTGGAATTACAAGTGTGTGACATTGCACTCAGCCATGGGTATTTGAGATCTGGTTATTTCAAGGACTGTGGAAGTGTGCCAGGCAGAGTGCTCACTCACCAACAGAACTCTATAATGATGCTTTGATCCAAGCTGAAGCCTGGGAAATGAGCATCCTTATCATTCCTGGGACTGGTCAACAACAGTTCCTGTATGTCCTGGCTATCTGCCAATTCTGTCCACCAGGCTGGAAACTGATGACCCTGGAGAAAGGAGGAATGACAGAGGTGGTAACTTCCTTAAAGGACTAGGCCTCCATAAAGCATCCTCACTGGCTAGATGCCTGTGGATCATGATCAAGGTAGACTGCCAATGGGGCTTTTTTTTTATTTCTCAAAAGGCTAATGGTAGAAATGTTTGGTTCAAAAAGCCAAGTTCAGGTGGAATATGCTCAACTTTAGAAGCTCACTGACCCATTCCCTGGCTGTCTGGGTCTCAGGAACCTTTAAAGAAACCAAATATTCCACCTCTAGCAATTAGAGAAATGCAAATTAAAACTACACTGGGATTCCATCTCAGTCCAGTCAGAATGGCAATTATCAAGAATACAAGTCACAATAAATGTTGGCAAGGATCTGGGGGATAATGTACATTCATACATTGCTGGTAGAACTGCAAATCGGTGCAACCTGTCGAAAGCAGTATGGAGATTCGTAAGAAAACTTGGAATGGAACCACCATTTGACCCAGATATCCCATTCCATGGTTTATACACAAAGGACTTAAAATCAGCACACTACACTGACACAGCCACATCAATGTTTATAGCAGCTCAATTAACAATACCTAAGCTATGGAAATTAACCTAGGTACCCTTAAACAGATGAATGAATAAAGAAAATGTGGAATATATATACAATGGGGTACTACTCAGCCATAAAAAGATGACTTTATGACTTTGCCAGTAAATGGATGAATCTGGACACTATCATGTTAAGTGGAATAAGCCAATCTCAGAGAACCAAAGGTCAGATGTTGTCTTTGATATGTGGATGCTAACTTACAACAAGGGTGGAAGGGAAAATGGAAGTTCGGTGGATTAGACAAAGTAGAATAAAGGGAAGGGAGGGGAATGGGAATAGGAAAGACAAAAGAATGAATCAGACATCACTTTCCTATACTTATGTATGAATACATGACAAATGTGACCCATATCATGTACAATCTCAAGTATGGGATCCTAATTAGAATAAGTATACTCCGTGTATTTATAATATGTGAAAATACACTCTACTATCATGTCTATCTACAAAGAACAAATAAAAATTAAAAAGAAAAAAAGAAAAGCAAATATTCAGGCTTTGGAGGCCCAGCCTTCTTGGGTGAAAAATTCTCCATGAATCTGTATGGAATTTCTTGCCTCACTGGCAGACTAAAACTTGAAAGTTTCCCATATCTATTAAAGAGGAGAGAGATCTCCTTCACGCCACCTACCTGAGTTGCTTGGATGTTCACATTTCCTTCTCTTAAGAGCTTCCAGACAACAGCCATGTCTTCATCCGTCTCCGCAGAAGCCAAGGGAGTGATCATCACGGCAGTATAGCCAGCTTTGTTCTGGTGGTCGACATTGCAGACCCCTGCAAGATAAGCAACGGGGCCTGGAATAGCCCCAAGGGGCCAGAAGGCAGCCTCCACTTTAGCCAGGTCAACAAGATGCTGCTTGCTGGTTAATAATCCAAGGAATAGCGCCATCCACAGCAGGAGTCACTAGTTTACAATTCTGGTAGCATTTAAAGGTAGCTACCTTTCTTTAACAAGTTTTCTGAGGATACCCAGGAAGGGAGGTCCACAGGAGGCCAGAGATGGCCAAAGGGTCAATGACCATGACTTTACTTCCTAAACCTGAGCATATGACATTATTCTCATTTTACAGATGAGGACTCTGAGAGGCTAAGAAGATGCATAAACTATTCATGTGCAGGTGAAGCAGAACCAGGGCTCAGGATTGTCTGGGTCCTGAGCCCATCCGTCACCAGCCACATGTACCCACAGCTCTGCACTACAGGTCTCACTCTCACTACCTCATGTCTGTATGTAACTGAAGCTGGTGGCTGGGCATGTAAGTCCTTTAGGATAAACATAGAAAATCTTCCGGAAATGACCATCTCACTTGAAAAACGGGGAGATAAAAACACCATAACTTTTGAATAAAACAAGAATAAACCTTTCACAACAGAATGAAAAACTGCAAAAAATTCTCACACATGCACACACACACTTTAAATTTTCTGTTTTTTGGTTTGTTTTTTTTTAATATATTTCTGTTTTTGAAACAGGATCTTGCCAAGTTGTCCAAGCTGACCTTGAACTTGTGATCCTCTTGTTTCTGCCTCCCCAGTCACTGGGATTACAGGTGGGTGCTACTGCACCCAGCTAAAACTGGTATACTTTTGAGATGAAGTAGTAAAGAAGAAAGGAAAAGAGATTCTTGGTTTGTGGTCCTGGGGCTATCCAAAGGAGAGGTAAGGCATTGTGAGACACAGATGTCCCTTATATAAATGATCTCACCTCTCCAGGGTAGTATTGTGTGCAAAACCAAATTGTCCCTGTGCAGTTGTTCATTAGAAAAGCCTAGGTGGCTCTTTTGAGCAAAATAACAAAATTATCTCAGTAGATCAAGACAGTCTTTCTTAGGCTGCCCTCCTCTGTGGAAAAGAGTGAATTACAGAACCTCTCATAGGATTATTGTGGAATTTATGGTTAATGTATTTAAATCTCTTTAAATCTCTTAAGTAAATGCTTAGTTTACAATGATCATTCAGAATAGTATTCTTGTAGATTAGGAATTCATTAGAAGAAATCTAATTTATGGAACAATGTCAATTAGGGCTACTTACAGGTTCTGTGCAAGGAGAGAACCCAGCATTTGTTTGATATTCCCTCTGCTCCACCCCAAGCATTTTTCAGAAGTGTGCAATTGTTATACCTAAGTGCCAATGGATCTGCAAACCTTGGCTTGGCTGACTCATTAGCAGTTTTTCCTCTCAAGCCCCTCTGACCATGGCTGTGATTGAGTGGGTTACGAACCTTGAATGATAACCCAGTGCACTGCCTCAGAAGCCTGTCCTGATTAGGAGTGAAGGTGGACATTGCTGTGTTAACAATTTTTGTTTTTACCCCTACTTTAAGTTTGCTTTAAGATGTGTGAATAGGCCTCAAGTTACCAGTGCTCTTATCTCTTCAGAAACATGTTGTGCAGCACTCTGGAGTGAGGTCCTCACCGGGGACCCAGAAAAGGGCTGAGGATCCACATTCATGCCACATGCCCCTGAAAGGCTCTCCACCGAGCATGCTCAAATTTAACAAGCTTGCACCACTAGGGACCCAGCTTATGGAGGTGTACTCTGTGTTTCTATTCTCAATAACAATGAGTCACAGCCTGGCTGGTGGTGCACACCTGTAATCCCAGCAGCTCTGGAGGAGGCAGGAGGCTTGCAAGTTCAAAGCCAGTTTCAGCAAAAGTGAGGTGCTAAGCAACTCAGAGACTCTGTATTTTAAATAAAATAAAAAATAGGGTTGGGGATGTGGCTCAGTGGTTGTAGGTCCCTGAGTTCAATCCCCAGTAATAATAATAATAATTATTATTATTATTATTATTATTATTATTATTATTATTATAAGAAGAAGCCATTTTCTGTACAGCACATTACAGTTTGTAATGTGCTTTTCATATGCTTCACAATGGTCTCTGAAGGGAGCCCAGGTTTGGGAGTGTGACAGATCTGTCACTATCAACACCCTTTCTACTGATGAGAGAAAGTAATGGCATTTGGGGCCTGTTCTCCACAACCCTTTTCACCCTCTCTGCTAGTGTATCAAAGGGGAAGCTTCCAAACCACCATAAAGTTGATGAGTATTGGCTGGATGTCTAATCAATGGTAGCAGAAATTTACAGCACCCAAATCTTAGGGTGTCTAATCACTGTCCTGGCCTATCCCACCTAGAACTCCTAATAGGCTACAAGTCTGGGAGCTACTTAAGACAGGGCTCCATGTTACTGGTCTTTGGATTCTTCACACACATATTAGGTGCTCTCAAAGCCTCAGAGTGTCCCTGTGAACTACTTGGGGGTAGTAGAAAAAGTCCATATTTGGAGAGTGACAGATCTTGGTTTGCATTCTGGCTTTGTGACAGATTCTGGGATCTCAGCCAAATTTACTGACATCTCTGGGCCTCAGTTTCCTCACTTGGAAAATGCAATTAATATCTGTTTCACAATCTCCACAAGGATTGTATATGTGAACATGCATGTCATACCTAAACCAGTTTCTGGGATGGGGAAGACACTCAAAAGACTCTAGCTACTGTTCTTCATGTTCTCAATTGAAGGCCCAGAATACTGGAAATGGTAAGTGGAATACAGAGGCATGCTCCACTGAACCATGTGCCTCCCTCAGCTGAGCTACCATGTTGATGGTACCCAGGAATCCATGAATAACTGAAATCAATAACATTGACTCAATCTTAGAACTGGAATTTAATTGCTGGGGATTGAATCCAGGATCTTGTGCATCCGAGGCAAGAACTCTACCAACTGAGCTATATCCCCAGCCCTAATGGAATTTAATTTCTTGATGATGTGAGAATTAGAAGTTTAGGCTATTTTTACATATGTCACCTTTCCGGTTTGGAAGAGCCTCAAGGCTGCTTAAAAGAACAGTGGAGAACTGGAAGTACAATGGAGTTTAACTGAACTCCAAGAGTCATCCATTACTCATTCCTTTAACAGAGAGCATCATCCAGGAACTCGATTAGGAACTTGGACAGAAAGGGACAGACAAGAGCCCCTTTTTACAGAATTAGTATTCTGTTGGGTAGAAATACATAAAAAGATCATCTAAAGAAAAAAAAAAACAGGTGTTCCTCTAGAGCAACAGATGGGGTGTAACCCCTTTAAATAGAGTCACCAGAATGACTTCAAGGAGGTGACATTTGGGCTGTGACCTGGGTAATAAGGAGCCAGTCCTACAAAGAGTTTCAGGGGAAAGAGTCTAGATAGAAATAAAATACAAAGCTCCCAGGAGCAATGAGCTAGGTGAGTCTGAGGCCAGCATGGCTGGGTGGAACACAGGAGGAGAGTGTGGTGACACAGGGACAGCTATGCCAGGTGGGATCTTGCAGGGCAGACCATGGAAGCAGGCAGAGTAAGTTAAGTTAGATGGACAAGACCTGAGAAGTGGGAAAGCTGTTGGTTTCTGATATCACACACTGCCACCCCTCCGGCCCCATGCTTCCTTAATAAGGGAACAGATCAGCCTCTGCTCCAATTCCTGGAGCCAGACTCTCCCAGGACTCCAGTGTTTTTGCTCTAGCCAGCCCCTCCTGAAACTCTACTACCTATAGATTTTGGATTTGGAACTCTCAATAGCTTTCTGGACATTTCCGCTTGGATGACCCACTAGAAACTGAAAATCTGCCTCCCCACACTTGCTCCTTTCCCTTTTACAACACCATCATCTTCTCAGCCATCGAAGCTTGACAGAGAGCTCTGACTTCCCAGGCCCATCACAGCCAGGTGGTCACTAACTCTCCAGTGACTTTTTGTTCTTCTATTCCTGCTATGATCATCTAGTCCTCACTACCTCTCTGTGGACCCTTGCAGTGGACTCTAAACTAGCCTGCCACCTCCTCCTCTCTTCTTCCACTGATCTGCTCCTACCACTGAATTATGCTTCTTGGAGAATTGCCCTGGTGATAGAGCTCCCTACACAAAAATCTGTACTACTTCCCAGCACCTTTCAAACAGGTGTCAGTCTGGCACACAAGGTCCTCCATGCCAATGGCTCCAACTTACCTTCTCAACTTTTGTTCACATCTTGTCCAAACCAGGAGCCATTCTGACCTCCAGGTGTCTTTTCTTTTCTTACCCTCTATGGTGCTCTCCTCATCTGGACACTTCTCTGCCTGTGGAACCCCATCTGCTTCAGGGCACCTTTCCTGCTCCTGAATTGAATAGTATCTCACTTCTTCTGCATCTCTAAATCACATTCTGCATCTCTCTTCGGAGCCATCTTGCCCTGCTCTTTTGCATTTCGGGTTGTAGCCAGTATGGACCTCATAATTAATCAATAATTATCTTGCAAACAATAACAGAGTCCAATTGGTCAAATGGAGCCAAGACCTTTGTTAAAAATTATCTTAGAAAGACAAGAAATGGTGACCTTTCCTAAGGCAGTGCAGTAGAGCTCTGAAGTTGAAAAGACCAAATCTAGAATCTGCTCTACCATTTATCAGCACTGTGACCTGAGTAAGTTTTAGAACTCTCTGAGCCTGCAAATTGAGAATAATATCATAGGTCTACTGTGGAGAATGAATGACATGATATAGGCAACATGGTCTAGTCCAGTTTCTGGAGTAAAGAAGGAACTCTGAGGAGTGAAGAATTTTCTTGCTGGAAAGAGGTATGGTACAAGAATGGCCCTCAGCTACAGAGGAGGCTGAGAGAGGAGGATTGCTTGAGCCTAGGAGTTGGAGGACAGCCAGGTAACAAAGTGAGATCCTCTTTAAAAAAAAAAAAAAAGGTCTGGGATCCAGACTGCAGGTGCAGCCATTTCTGACCTGTGTCCAGCAACAGCTTCACGATGGAGAAGTTGGAGTGGGACACACTGTAGTGGAGGGCTGTGTTCCCGTTATGATCAGCCAAGTTGACAAGCAGCTTCAGGAGATGTGGGGAGTGAGTCTGGACCCCAGCGAGGTAGGCGGCCACCGTGGCAGGGCTAGATGACTTCCGGCTGGAAACACGGAACCACTCTTGACTGATGGTGTTCAAGCTTTGCCTCTGAAACCCCAAAAGATTCCAATTCTGAGACGTTCCCTGGTCTAGGATGTCCCACTTGACACCAGGACGTGTCAGCTTTGAATGTTTCTGCCTCCATCCCTTATCTCCCTGTATCCCTGCAGGGGATTTATGTAGGGGACTGACAGACAGCAAGGTTGGGAATGCAGGAACACATGGGACCTGTGATCAACCCTCCATGTGAGGTAGCAGGGAGTTCTGGGATGACAATGCAATAACCAGGAACAACTCCCTTTCCTAGATGATGGCCTGAAACTAGTGTAAGTTGAGGTCACATCCTGTGTGCACAGGATTACTAAGACTCTCTTTCATGCCCACGTGGTAAGTCTACATTGACTTACCCCCCGTATGGCACGAGGGCTCTTGCCTTTTTATACTAGGCATAGCGGGAAAGTCACAACATTATACAGACAATCATATGCAATTTATGCTGGAAATAAAACCCAAACAGGTGGGCTTGAATTATTCTTGACTTTCTTTTCTTTTTTTTTTTTTTTTGTGGTGCAAGGACTTGAACCCAGGGCCTTGTGCATTCTAAACAAGCACTCTACTACTGAGCTACATCTCCAGCCCTGTTCTTGGCTATGAGTTTTGTTGGGCTCTCCAAAGTGAAAACTTTAACGACCCATGACAGGTCCCCTGCTCTCTGTAGCATCTGGCTCCCCTGGAACCATAGGAGTGTCAAAGTTGATGACATCAACTCTGTATGTAACATGACCTAAGGGCTTAAGATGACACAAATTTAGATTATTTACCTAAAGGGGAGGGGAAGCTATTGGGGTATGGTTGTCATGAACGATTTCATGCTCATTCTGGAAAGAGCACTGGGTTTGGAGTCACTAAATCAATGTGATTAGGTTTGAGTCCTGTTTCAGCTTGCGACCTTGGAAGTATATAACTTTTTTGAATACTACTTGTCCCTATTACAAACTGGGAATGGAAAAATGGGCTGTGTTCCTTATTTCCAAGTCTCTGCATAGCCTGTGTTGTCTCTCAGGCAGGGGCAAGGAGGGAGCACAGGGGGACATCCATGCTCAGATCCTAATGTGGGTGTGGTTGTGGGGTTGCACATACATGGCTTCTGATCACTTGCTTTTCCAAGTCAGGAACAGAGAAATCACTTGTGCCCAAAAGACTTTTGCATATCAGAATCTCTCCCTGCCTCCTTTCTCCTTCTCCCTCCACCTTCCTTCTCCCCCCCCCCTCTCTCTTTAATCCTAGAAAGGAATATCTGCTTCACCCAAGGAATCTTCAAGAAAATCTGGAGAAAGACCCTCATAGGAAGGAGCATAGCGGTGGATTTTAAATGAAGAGGTAAGACTTAGTTCCATAATTTGTTTAAGAACAAGAAACAGGAATTTCAATTCACATCCACACCACACACTGCTTCTTTAAGTCTGGGAACTGCCATATGCCAAATCAGCTACAATAAAATAATAAAAATTGCCTGGCCAAGTAATAAACCCTGCTGAATTGATATTTTTACTCTTTGGGCTCTTCTGCAGAGGAGAGCAAAATAGGTTTTAAAATGCTTACAGGTTGTTGTGCTGTGTTTCTGACAGCTCTCTCCTACCGTGGGGAATGTGCCCATGTCAGTAGCTCTTGATTAAAAGTAGGACCCAATCATTGCATGTTCAAATCTCCATGGGCCACGAAGGTACAAAGGAGCAAACATGGATTTTCTTATTTCTGGTCTCTGGACCCATAGGTGCACTTTAAGAAAAGCAGTAATAACTATGGAATTAAGTGTCAGAGCTTCAGCGGGTGGACACACGTCACTCATCACCACTGTTCTGTTGATGAGGAGGCAGGCTCTGAGCCTTGCCCTCACTCACTTCTTGCCTCACAGGTGAGGTTCTGGGACCAGAACCCACAGTTCCCATTCCATGTGCTCTTCCCACTTCACCCATATGTTTCCCCAACCTCAGGGCAGAGGTTTGAGCCTTAGTCACAAACACTTTAGTGACAGACACTCAGGTGGTGATGCCTAATCTCGCTTGGTAAATGCCTCTGAGCCCCTGACCTACTTTCTCATGCAGATTGATCCTTCCACATCCTCAGCATAATCCATCATTTTGGGTGGCAGCATTTGGGTAAATGACAGAATTCCCTGAGGAGAGGGACTCCTGTGTGCACACTCACACCCCGGCATAAGGCAAGGGGCCAAAGTCACTGTGGTGGGAAATCTTTACACGACAAAGGAAAATCAGAGTACCAAGAGCTGGTCGGTGGTGGTCCCAGTCTCCGGCAGATACTGGCTCAATGCTCTGCATGCGTTAAGAAATTCTTCTGAGGGTTTATATCTAAAGAAAACAAACACACACACATGTGTATATATATGTATACACACACACAAAAGCATATTTATGTAATCATTCTCCACATTGATAAAAACGACTCTCATTTTCCTCTTTCACTTCTCAGCAACTCAAACACCCAAACCGGGTAACTCCCCCAGGATAGGGAACATTCCTCAGAAGTGTGGGGTGATCTGAGCACCCTGCTAATGTGGCTCTGAAGAGCCTTTGCATCCTGCTCTTGTTGGAACAGATAAACCAAGTTGCAGAGGCTGTGGGCTCAACACAATGCCTGACTCACTGGGGACTGGAGGGCTGCTGTTCTGACTTTGGATGAAATTTTTCTTCCTGGGTTGACAAGAAAAAAAAAAAAATCCAAAGAACCCAACACATACCAGCAAATCTCCTCAGGTCCTTCTTCCATGAAGGAACCACAAGGGCTAAGAGTTCATAAAATGAGAAGCACTGACACTGGGTGCCACAGCGACACGCACACAGGCCTCAGTGGGCTCTAATGGCACCGGTCCCCGAGAGCCCACTCACTTTTATTTATTTTTAATTTTTTGCAGTACTGGGAATAGAACCCAGGGGCGCTCTACCATCAAATTGCCACCTCAGACCTTTTTATTTTTTGAAAGACAGAGTCTCGCTAAGTTGCCCAGGTTGACCTGGAACTTGAGATCCTCCTGCCTCAGCCTACCAAACAGCTGGGATTGCAGGTGTGCGCCACCATGCCTGCTTGCTCGGCACAGTCTCATCGGGCTGCCACACAGAGCACCCTGTGCATCAGCTCACTAACCAGCCTCTGTTGCTGTTCAGCATTCCCCCAGCAGCAGGCTGCAGGTGGTGATGATGATGATGATGGTGGTCCTGACTCAACTATTGCTACTCTCATCGGGAGCCCATTCCATGGCAGGAACTGTGTGAGGCACGTAAGTGCTTTTTCTCACATGATTCTCAGATCAAATCTAAGAGGTCACTATTATCCACATTTTTTCAGATAAGGAAAGGGAGGTGACCCCAGCTTAAGGACCTTGCCAAAGAATACCATGGGCAGTTCTTGAATCAAGGTGTGGTCAGCTCCAAAGGCATGGCCTCTGATCACTTTCTTTTCCAAGTCAGGAAAAGAAAGACTCCCCCTCTCCTTTCTCCTTCCCCCCCACCTTCCCTCTCCCCCCCCCCCCCCCGTCACATCACGTGCCTCCCATCACTTTACAGGGTGGTGTCACCTGGCCAACAAGAGAGGCAGAGAAGTGTATGGGTCAGAACCAGCAGGTCCAAACTGCTCTGCTAGCAGCATCACTTCCCTCCCTCAGCCTCCATCTCCACACCTGTAAAGTGGGGGTCATAGTGATGGCTGCCTTGCAGGATCGTGAAAAGGCTTATATAAAATAATACATGTCCATCCATCACATTTTCAGTGCTAGGTGAATGTTGGCTTTATCCGCAGAGCTCTACCTATGACAGAATATTCCAGGAGTCATGTCTGTTTAGTTCAACCACTGCCCAGAGCCCAGCCTGGAAGAAAACTCAACAAACTCTGCCCAACGGGTGGATCGACAAATGACCCAATGACCGGATGGAAGGGTGAGCGCATGCCCTTGCCCCTCACCAGAGGAATGGCGGCCCCCTCTGCACCCATCTGACTCACCTCTCAGCCTTGGGATGGGGGGCTTCTTCCCCAAACCCGCTTTCCTGGCCTGTGCTGTCAGTGCCCTCAGGGACATCCTGGCCAGCCTCGCAGCTGGTGGCATCTTGGCCCCGCCTGTGTTCTGGGCCACCACATTTCTTCTCAGCCTCGCTGTCAGACAAGTCCTCTGGAGAGCTGTCCTCACCACTGGTCTCCTCGCTGGAAGTGGTCTCATAGCTGGAGAAGGAGAAGAGGTCACTCGTCCTGTCCTACCTGCCCAGGGCTATGTCAACACCAAGGAGAACAAGGCAGGTCTCAGGTCACACTCCCCAGTTTACTAAGCACATCCTGCAGGCCAGGATGAGGAGGCTCCCAGGAACCCTACAGTCAGAGAAATAGGCTCTGGTGCTGGATGCCATTTGTGAAGAAAAGCTAATTTCTGCTCTTTGCAGCAAACACACCAACACCCTATCCCTGAATTGGCTGATGATTTGGTGATTCAGACAGGCAATCCAAGGTTCTCACAGAGCCATTTGCTTCTGGAATCCTAATGTTAGGTCCAGAGAGGAGCCCAAGTCTAGGTTAGCATCCCCACCTCCACCCTGAGTTCCCTGAATAGCCTGACAAGTCTTCACATCTCTGGGTGGAAGGCAGACCTCCTGCAGCTCTCTCCTCCCCAGCCCAGGGTGAGACTGGTAAGGGGTGAGCTCCTCTGCACCTGCTCCCAGCCAGATACTCAAACACACACCTGCTTTTCTCACCTGAAGCCTGTTAGAACTACAACTGGGAGCAGCAAAAGTGTGGTCTCAGGTACTTGACTTGTGGCTTTGCTCCTGACAGTGATTCTTACATTCAGCTATAAACAATCCTATTGCCTTGTCACAACCAGAGACCAGGGGCAAAGTACTGGATGATTTACAGATTCCCTTGCCGATATTCAACAGGAGATCCCAATGGAGGATGCTGGTATTAAGATCTGGGTATTGAGGACACTCCACAGAGCCACAGGGATCAGTGACTATGGTTGCTGCTGAACCCCCTAAGGTCCTTTATCCATCAGTGGCTTCTACATAAGAACTCTGTGCTCACTGGATCTGCAAACCCAGCAGGCTCCCTGGTATGCCTGCATTCCATTTTGCTTAATTCTCAGATATTTCTTCTCCATTGTGTTTGGAATAATCATTTCCTTTTGTGATAAAGAAATGGGGGACACACTATGTTTACCAAGCTGTGTTCATCTTAGAATTGCTTCCATAAAAACTTCACCTAGGGCTAGAAGTGTCACTCTGTGGTAGAGCACTTGCTTAGGATGTGCAAGGCCCAAGGGTTTTGATCCCCAGCACCACAAAGGAAACAAAACACAACAAAAACAAATTCAAATAAAATTTTTACCTGGAAGAAATTTATTGAGCACCTACTATGTGCTAGGTAGTGTTCTAAGTGCTTATATCAAAGCCCCTGCCTTAGGGGAGCTTATATGCTAGTAGGGAGAGGCAGATACAGACATACAACAAATATTATATACAGAAAGTGATAAGAATAATGCACAAAGTTAAAAAGGGCCATGGGCTAGTGATGGGAGGAAGAGCTGCTTCAATTAGGACATGGGTTCTTAACCTCAGCTGCACATTAGAACACTTGGGGTGGGGGTTAGCATTCCCAGTAGGTGGACTGTCTCCCAGACTAATTAAACCTGAGTCTTCAGGATGGGGATCAGGATTATTTATGCTCCCGCACCCCAGGAGGGGCTCAGTCTAAGCAGGGGAAGCAAATGCCAGGGCCTTGAGATGGGCCTGAGCTCAGCATGTTGGAGGGAGGTGAGGCAGGAACTGAGGTGGACGAGAAGCTGAACCATGATCTAGTTCCTCCAGGTTTGGGCACAGAGGGGGACTGTGAAGGGCATTTAAGCTGGGCAGCAGCGTGACCTGCATTAGGCTTGGAGATCAGGCTGATCCTCCTCCTCTGCATGTGAACTGGTGAAAGCACAAAACATGGTTCTTCATGGACCAGAGGGTCACACACCAGAGGAAGTGAGAGCAGCAGCCCACCTGACAACCTGCTTCATCATTTCTGATGTTTCCCTCACAGAAACTACAACAATGATGCCCCCCCCCCATTCGCGACTAGTGTTTTGTGTGACTTAAGTTTGCAGGATCCCCACTTTTTCTGGGCAGTCTCCTGGACACACCGCCTGCTGGGCTAGACCCCTCCTTGGGCTTCCACAGCATCCTGTGCTTCCCTGACTAATACAACTGGTCTTGGCACGTCAGCATTTCTCCCTTGTTTCTTGACGTATCTGAGAGCTAAAGGTAGGGACCTTGATCTATTTGACTTTTTTTTTTAATACCCACCACCTAGCATATCGTTGGCATTTAATAAATGCTGAATGAGCGATTTAGAAAATACAGTCATGTGCTTAGTGACATCATAGATGTTTTGACTTTTGTAAGTACTTTGTGGTGTCCCATAGTGACAAAAATTGCCTAATGCTGCATTTCTTAGAGGTATCCCTGGTTGTTAGGTGACATATGACTGTAATGTTCTTTCTTTCTTTTTGGCACTGGGAAATGAACCCCAGGGCTTTTTAACACTGAGCTACATCCCAGGTCCTTTAAAAAAATCTTTTCTTTTAAGACAGGATCTCACTAAGAAGCTGAGGCTGGCCTCAAACTTGCAATCCTCATGCCTTAGCCTCATGAGTTGTTGGGATTAGAGGCATGTGCCACTGTGCCCAGCTGCATGACTGTATTCTAAATCCAATGTTTAAGTCCCTAGACTACAGAAGGCTTGGTTCATGTTCTTTATCAATAGACTGGTTGTTTCCTTTCATTGCCCAAAACTTGGGTTTGGTTTGCAGTAATTAAAGGAGAAACATTTTAAACACATACAATTGTACTAGTTTCAGTGTCATGGTTCGGGTTAAAGACCTTCCTCAAAGGGTCCATGTTCTCCCAAACTCCCAGAAACCACCCAGAGTCCTGGCCCTGGGGGAGACTAAAGCCAAGTATGTTAAAAGCAGAGGTTCCAACAAACCAGCACATCTGGCAAAGAGCCAAACATGTGCAAACCCGACATGGAGTTTTAAAGGACCTTGGAGATTAATTCCCTTGCAGAAGAACAAAAGCCAGATGCTTCCCCCTAGAAAAGAGAGCACCGAGGACAACAGCAGGAGAGGTAGCAGGGAAGGCAGTCGGAGCTTCACAAGCGATGCTTACCCACCGTTAACCCCAACAAACTGAAGGTTCTTTTTGGTCCCATTACCTCCTGCACGGAAGCCATAGTCTTTCTTTTTCATTATGGATTTAAGGCTGGTCGGCGGGGAGCTCTCTAGGTAGATACAACATCACAGGTTAGAAAGATCTTGGAGTAGCAAAAGCAGGGCTTTTCCTTTAAGGGGATACAGGTTGCAGGTGTGTGAAAAGGTGGATAGGGACAGAAACCAGATAATTCAAATCAAATGTTTTGGGGACTTTTTCAATAAAATGGTTTTATTCTTTCTGGTGACTGTCAATAGAATGGTTCCTGTTAATGATGCCCCTCTCTATATGGATGATTAGAGAGACTGGAACATTCTCGCAGGGAACCACATGGGCACATGTGGTTGTTGTCCCTATCTTATGGCTAGGAAATCTGAGACTCAGGCTTCCTTGGGGAATGGCAGAGCAGGAATAGAACTGAGGTCTGTGGACTCATGGGCCAGCACCCTTCTCCACTCAAGGGCATCTCAGCAGTCCTTTCTAGCTCATGTGCACGTTGACACTTGTGATGTGGGGGTAGTGATGACACTGGAGACATGTGAGCAAGAGCACAACCTCATGCTGTGCTCAGTGGTATGGGAGGCATTTCCCAAGGGACAAGATGGTAACTAGCACCGAAATGAGAAGGCAGCCAACCTGTGACCTGTGGCAGGAAGCAGACTTGCATGCTGCCCACTGAGCCAAGCATGGTAATGGCTCCACTCTCCTCAACAGTGAAGAGTGTGAGATCGGTCAGAAGAGGAGGAGCTGCTCTGGCCCATGTGAGCCCCTGCCCCCATGCATGCGCACAGAAAATACTCAGTGAACAATTCCCAATCTCTATATAATGCTCATCCAAAACCAGGCTAGAGAAAACCTCTGATGTGGGAGGGCCAGAAAGGGTTTTTCCTGTTCCAGCAGGAATGCTGAAGCCCAGGAAACCAGCAGGGAGCCTGAGGGGAGCACCCAGGGCAGGACCACCCTTGGCCAAGACTTTGCCTTTGTGCGATGAAATGAGAACAGCGCCCCCTCTGGGTAGACCCAGTGCTGCAGGCACATGGTTTGGCAAAGGGAGCATGGGCTGGATTTCAGCTCCTATTTGCCCTCCCTGGCTGGCATCTTTGTGGCTGACACTATCTGTACAGCTGAATGTGGTGGCCCTGCAGTCAGACTCACACCTACACAAGGAGAGTAGAGGTGCGGACCCCATGCTTACACAGGTCAGTTTTTATTCCACTAGGCTCCTGGAGGTGCTAAAATCTTTTTAGAAATCTACTCATGTAACCAAAACCCCCTTTCCCTTGGATTTGTCATATAAAGGAGAAAAGGTTCCCTGCCTTGGGCACCAGTATTTACCGGTTGGAGGGGAGGAGGGCGGGGCTGCAGGCTCCTGTGGGGGAGCCTGGGCTGAGTAGGCAGACAGCAGCTGGTTGAGGGAGCTCAGCAGCTGGCTCTGGATGCTGCTGAGCTTGGAGGCAGGCTGCTTGATGGCGCTGGCCAGCTCCGGGTACCCATGCTCCAGGCAGCTCCACTGCTCCTGCAGGAGCTCCTGGATCTTTTTCACATATTGCCCAATGGTGGCATCTGTTGGAGAGCTTGGTGGCCTTCCCGGGTGCTCCTTCCCTGGGAGCTCCTCCCTGGACCCTGGGGCAGCCTCTCTGTCACTGCTCCGTGAAGAACCTTGTGCTGCCCTGGCCAGGCTCTCGCCTCCTGCCTGCAGGCCTCCCTCGTGCTCAGAGCCTGCTTCTTCAATCCTGAGTTCAGTGGGGAGGCAGCAATGTAAAGGGGAGGCAAGGACCTTCTCAGGTCCCTGTGGCAGTGAGAGCTGGGGCGGTAGCACAGGCTCTGCCAATCTCTGACCCGCTCGAGTGTGACCATTTTGCCCCCATAGGAAGCCATTCTCCTCTCCCCCGGCCCCCCAGCTTTCAGAGTCTGTGATGCTCAGAAGGTTGACGCCGATGCTCTTGTCACATGACTCCCCTGGGAAGAGCCCACGGGGAGGGTCAGTGTTCACCATGGCATCAGCCTGGCCCGGGGCATCTCTGGAAGTCTCTTGGATAAGCTTTTCTTCCAATTGGGCTACAGTGCACTCTAGCTCTCGAATCCTCTGTTCCCGCGTCTTGATTTCCTCTTCCTGCTGCTGAAGGGCAGCTCGGACCTGGGTCAGTTCCTTGGTTCTGCCAGACAATTCACCCTCAAGGGCTGAGACCTGCTCCTTCAGGTTGGAGATGCTGTTGGGGTCCACCAGGGCAAGGCCCAGGCTTTCCTCAGTTACCCGGATGCCGATGCTTCTCACATCCAACTCTATGGGCGGCGGGGGTGGGATCTCACTGATGTTGAGCTCGATTTCCTCCAGAGGGAGCTCATTCTCAGGGATGGGAGATGGCAGAGGTGGGGGGCTGGGTGTTGAGGAGCCAGGGGTAAGAACCCCCTCTGCTTCTCTGGTTTGGTGTTCGCCTTCCACATCCTCTAGGAGTGCATTCTGGAATGCGGGAGGAGGCCCTGGGAGAAACAGGTGATTTGGAGACTTCACTTCCCCCTCTGCAGGCTCAGCCCCCTCCTGGAGTAGCTCTGGGAGCCCTGCCACCAGGTCTCCCAAATCGCTGACTGTCAGTTGGGCTGATGCTCCAGGGCTGGAGCTGTGAAAACCTGCAAATCCTTCTGCTGGGCCAAAGGTGCCATCCCAGATGCTGCTGTCCCCCTGCAGAGGAGGGAAGGCAGGAGGTGCTGGAAGACCTGCGCTTAGGTTTGGCTCCTCCAAGGCCCTGTTTTGGGGCAGCGTGGCTGGCATACTGGATGCTCTCAAAAGCTGGGGCCGTCCACTCCCAGAAGTGAGCTCGGCTTCCTCTGGAGCAGCAGCCTCCAGCTGCCTGGAGGCCTCCGCCAATAGGGCCTTCCTATGATAGCTCACCTGGCTCCCGCTGGCTGAGGCGTGGGGAGGATCACCTAGCAGCAGTGACTGGGTTTGCTCCTGGGTCCTGGGTGACACCTTCCTTGGCACTGCGGGAGACCAGTTTTGCTGGGGGATAGTAACATGGGGGCGAGCCCCACTGTCAGGAAGGCTGAAATTGCGGGGCAACGTGCTAAACTTGGCCTGCTTGGCTCTTCTGTGGATAGGAATCCTTTTGATGGTGTTCCCTTTCTCAATGTCATCTACATACTTGAGGAAGTCCAGGTCCAAGTGAAAGCCATATGGGGTCTCCACAGAGTATGGGTGGCTCCTTGGAGGGTCTTTCTCTTCACTCCCCTGAGAGATCTGGTCTTTGGCTGAGAGGAAGAAGAAGGAGGAGGAGGAGGGGGGCAGGGGGAGGAGGAGGAGAAGGAGGAGAAGGAGGAGAAGAAAAGTTAACAAAATTTACAGGGTGATGAAACTTAATATCTGTGATTTCAACTTGACAATGTCATGTGATATTTCTCCCAAATGTTCTAGCCTCTAAATTGTGCTGAGAAGCTCACAGTCCTTTTGGCCGTACTGGGAAACCATCTTATTAAAGCAATGTGTATTTAGCCAGTGTCTGCAAGGGAACAGGTAGAGGGAATGATTTTTAATTTGTAGTATGTCATCTCAGATGCTGGTGTGGAATCTGCCTGCAGACCAGCGAAATGACATTATCTCATACTTTTTTTCCCAGTTGGAGTCATGTAACCATTGAAATGAAGTGGCCAGGAACTGGCACATCAGGGGGACTAATTGGCAATTATGGATATGGAAGGTTTTGAAAGATGAGATGAGATACACAATTTACTCAGCATAAAAAGGAAACTTGCATTACTCAAATGGGAACTAGTAAATCTTGCTACACTGGAGGTATCAAGGAGTTACGCCCTCTACATTATTGAAGCTTCCTCCCATGCCTGAGCCTCCAGTTACAAGAAGATCAGAGAGAACTGGAACAAGTGAGCCTGCATAGCTAATGCTCTTTCCCCCTGAAAACTGCTTAGTGCTTAACAAGTGATCATGCGTAGCTGAATTCCACTTTCAAACACCATGCCCGTAAGGGAATACATTTTTCATAGGTTGGAAAAAAGGCAGGGAGGGAGAAGGGCCAATAATTGTCAAAAGGGACACAGGCCAATATTCTCCAAGAGATACGGACCCTGTGGACCCTGTGGCTTTTAAGGCAGCCTGAACTATGGGGGATGCTATAGGGAACTTTACACCAAGGTGCCATTGGGCTCCTTGCAGCATCCACCAACTGGCCCCCACAGAGGCCACTAAGAACAAGCCAGTCCTTCAACTGTTGGAGTCCCTAGGAACTTGTCTCCAGGCATCCTCTTCTTCCGGTCAGAAGAAGACTGGGTTCTTCCAGCATTCCTCATGTGATACTATTACCTCTGACATTCTGCTGAGCATACTCTGAAAAAGCTGAGCTCAAAAGAGGTTCAGAATACAGATTCTGGAGCTCCATCTATTTCTCTGCTCCTAGCCTTGCTGCATCTCATCATCTGTAAAGTGGAAATAATAATAGGTAATATAGCATTATTGTGAGGCCTAATTAATTAATAATGAATATAAGGTGCCTGACACAATGCCTAGCACATGATAAACACCTGATACCTGCTCAGTAGTGATTATCTTTGTGGAAGACCAAAATATTGAGAACTGAGGCCCCAGGATGGAAATCAACCCATGTGATTCACTGTTGCATATTCTGGGTCCACAAGTTCTTTGTGACTGATTCCTTGGCTCTAAGGGGAGGGGGCCCTGTGTGGAAAAAGCAGTAAAGCAACAAAGCAGCAGTAATTCAGTTCACTTCCCTCAGCCATGATTTATTCAGCTCCCATGGGTCAGTTGCTAAGCTAGGTCTCAAGGGCATAAGGATGAGTCAGGTATAGCTGCCCTGCCCTCCAAGGATTGATGTGATCCAGTAGGAGCACTGCCACACGTGTGGTATAGGAGGGTGATGGGTACAAATGCAAGCACAAGGTACAGTCTTCCCTGACTTATTTTTTCAGTTTCTCTAAAAACTATTTTCTTAAACATGGAAGCTAATTTTGCCTTGATAAGAGAGAGTAGAAATCACAAAAGTGACATAGGACTGGGTGTTAAATGAACAAACAGGAATTTATCAGGAGAAGAGGAGGGTGAAAGACATTATACCAGTTTATCTCCAGATGGTACCATCAATTCCTACCCTCTTTAGACAAGCAAGCAAATTCCACATTGAGAGGTGGAGTCTGTTTCTCCATGCCTTTGGATCTGGGCTGATCTGTGACTGCTTTGACCAAAAGAATATGGCAGAAATGATGCTGAGAGAATTCTATGCTGGGTCTCTTAGGATGCCCAGTTGGTGGGAAGTTGGCTGCCATGTAAGTCCAACTTCCCTTAGGCTGCTGAATAGTGAGAAAGCCCACAGAGGGAGAAGGGTCCTGCAGAGAAAGGAACAGTGATGTCTCACCAGCCCCCAACGATTCCAGCCATCCTAGCCCAGGTGCTAGGCAGGAGAAAAACATTCACCAACTCTGCTGGGCACAGATGGCACAAGCTTGTAATCCCAGTGACTCAGGAAGCTGAGGCAGGAGGACTGCAAGTTCAAACCTCAGCAACTTAGCAAGACCCCATCTCAAAATAAAAGTGCAAAGTAAATGAGAGTAATGTTTCCAATTACACTCAGTTATATTCTTAAGTCCTTTGGTTCAGTCAGAAGCCCCCTGGAGTACAAGGACAGGCCAAATCAGAGAGGAGACATTTGTCTCAAGTTAAGCGGAAAGTAGATTTATGACCCAGGAAGCAAAGACCTCTCCTAAAGGAGAGTCTGCATTATTTACCCTTATTGCCTTTGTTCAGTAGAAATGCACTGATTTGCCCAGAGGCCTCTGGGAGCAGGTTCAGAACACAAATGCAATAATACCATCAAGTAAGAAACAGCAGGTTCAGAGGCAGAATCTTCCACAGGGAGGCAAGGGGAACCAAAGGAGTCAGAGTAAGCAGTTATCATGGATGAGAGGGTTAATAGGCACTTTCTTAAACCCATCCTCATGTGCATGCATGCGTGTGCACGCATGTGCGCGTGTGCACACGCACACACACACAGTCTCACTCGTGATCCATCACGCTGCCCTGTCTGCCACTTGCCACTCTTCAGCCCTTTTCTTTTTCCCAGTGCAGGCAGAATGTTGGACCTCCATGATGGAGCTTGAGCTGATAGGCAGGGAGACCCAGCCTCACCACATGCTCCACTCCTGTTAATTCTACCTGGTGACAGGTATGCAGGAGCTCACAATTCCAGGCATGGGGCCAGGACAAGAATTAATTAGGAGAACTGTCTGTACTGCAAATGACATTTGGATCAGATAAGCCAAGCATAGCTAGGCTGGCTGGATTTGAATTCTGGCTGTCATCTCCTACCTGTGAGACTCTAGGCAAAGTATTTCATTTCTCTATGCCTCAATTTATCCATATATAAAGAGGAGATAATAATTCTTAGAGTTGTTGCAATATTAAGGCTCATGGCACAGAGTAGGTAATCAATGAGCATCCTAAAGGTGGTGGAGTGGAGGGGGGTGGGGGTGGGCTTGGCTCTGAACAGGTGGGGGAGGATTTGCTAAAGATTCTCTCCCTAACTCTGTGAGGACTACAGCCTCAGGAGGGAATGAAAGCCCAAGAAAATAATTCTGGAGAAAAAGGGAAAATGAGTTTGGGGAAAAGAAAAAAGTAAGATACAGGAGGCTCGAAGCTATCAGGAACTGTCTTTTTCTGAAAGCAAAGCCAAGGAGTAGATGCCTTGGAAGGACCTAAAACACAGCCATCAGCCTCAGAGTCACACACAGATGGGAGGAAGAGGGCTGGGAAGGGACAAGGTAAGGAGGGAGTACCACAGAATCATCTGGAGGGACAAAATAAAGTTCAGCAGGTGACTAAACCAATTAGAGTCACTGAAAGTGAGAAAGAAACATTCAAAAGTCTGTAATCAGTGTCTGGAGGAAATGGGAAAAACAGAAACAGGAGAGAAAAATGGCTAAAAATAAAGCCAGAAAGAACAGGAATTAAGTCAGCCTCTTCAAAAGGCCAAGACAGCCAGGGAGGTTTTCCTGCTTGGCCTTTACTCTGAGACGCTGTGCATGCAGGGAGGGGCACCTCTTGGGAGCTGCTGTGGGTAATCCTGTGGAAATGGTGATGCTGAGGATGCTGAGCAGGGAACAACGAGGCCAGGTGGCAGGACGACAGGCCCCCAGGCGCTAAGGTGTTAGCTGGTGCTCTCTGGGACCACTTCCAGTGATGCACTGCAAAGACAGCTCTCTGGGGAGAAAGGTAGGCCCTTGAAATATATGGCAATGCATCTGGAGAAAAGCAAGAGGCAGCACTGCAGCTGCTGTCTGCTCCCTAGGTCCTGGGCCATGTGATGCAACGGGGATTACAGGCTCACCTATTTCTAACAGTGGGTGATCTGGAAAAAGAATTTCATCCGAAGTCAGAAGATCAGGGTCTAGACTATGACCTTCAGCAAGTTTCTTGGGAGGGGAAGAGGGAAATATTTATGGAGACATCCACTGTTCTTGATAGTTGTTTTTCAACAACTTTACATGCATTAGCACATTCAGTTCTTTACCAATCCTAGGAAATAGTATTCATACCTGTTTATTGAGGGAGTATGGTAGACAGTTTGCAGAAACAGCCGCAATATTACCCCAGCCTTGGTACTACCCAACAACTACCCTGACCACAGGGTGGGCCTGTGACTGGCATTGGCCATGAGGGCAGTGGCAAATGTGGCATATGCAGAGATGAGCATTGGTTGTACATTGAGATTTGTCTCTTCTTGTTGTGTTTGAACACTTCTGCCACCATGTGTGAATGGGCTCCAGCTAGCTTCCTGGATGATGAGCAACAGTTGAGCAAGCCGGCCAACACCAACCATCACTGACAGCCCAGGTGACATGCTCAACCATCAGACATGTGAATGAGGCCATTCCAAACTGTCCAACCCAGCCAAGCCACCCAGAGGACCATGTGAATGGGCCTAGGCAGCTCAGATCAGGATAACAAGCCTGCCAACCCAAAGAATCTTTTGACAACAACTGGCTTTAAATCACAAAAATTTTAGTGGTTCACTAAGTGGCAAAGCTACCTCACCAACAAGGGGACTGAGGCTCAGAGACATTAAATGACTTGTAGAGTCACAAAGCTGTGAATGGAGACACTTTTGCCACATGCCTCTTGACTTCAAATTCCCCATCTATAAAAGAAAGGTAATGAAGGAGGGTACCCTGCTCCCTTCCTGATGCTTGGATGAGATGAGAAGATGCTCTGAAAATTACACAGGTCCAATATTTTGTATTTTATGATTTCATTTTCATTCTCTATTCTTCTGTAGTTCACACCTGAAATACATGATTTGGGCTTCCCTACACTGCCTGTTAGGGAACGTCTCCTACAGGCCTCCCATAGGCTATTTGCAGGATTTATGGTAACTATCCCATTCCAACCCACGTGTCCCTTTAAACCAGGGAATAGAAAGCCCCCTGCCTACCATCTGTCTTCTCCATCTTAGGGATTGTGACTCTCCGCCTCTCAGGCGCTCTTCATTCGCTCAGTCTGTAAGATTCCTGGAGAGTTCTGAAAGAAAGAAGGGTAGAGGGTGGAGAGTTCCTTCAGAATTAAGAGTTGAGGAAACACAGCATCAAAGAAAGTAACACTGGTCTCTGCCTTTCTCCCAGGGTTCACAGACACCTGAGGAAGGGCAGAAAGAACCTGAACACATTCGTAGAGCCCAGTTCTGGTGTGTCTTTGTGGATTGTGAGCGATGGTTGACAGTGAAGGTGCACTTGGTCCAACCCCCTAGTTTGAGAGATAAGGAAACTGAGGCTGAGGAGAAAAAGGTCTGTCCAAGGTCTCTCACGCTATTAATGAAGGAGGTGGAACCAGACCCAAGACTTCTCACAACCAGCACAGTGCTCATTCCATAAAATCAACAGCTGACATTTACCTACCCATAACCTGGTAAGAGACTTCCAATGCATTTTGTGAAAAGGTTAGAATAAGAACACCCATCGATGACCTGCAACACCCCAATCAAATACAAGACAAAGATGAGATAATTGTAAGTACTGACACTTATGGGTGATTTCTTACTGTGGGCAGAACAGAGGAAGTTCAACCCAGGTGGTCAGAAGATATCAGTATTTATCCAAGTAGAACATCACCTGGCTGAATTAGTGTCCCTTGAGGTTTGGCCATAAATTCTCCCAGAAGTTTTAATCCATTCCCAGGACTGACTCTTAAAATGGTAAACAACCTCCATCCTGCCCCCATGACAATAAATCACCCAGGAAATTGGCTTTTTATGATTATAACTCCACACACATCAGAATAATGAATTATCCGTGATACCACAGCAGTGAAAGCAGGGCTGTTTTCGGAATTCCCAATTGCTTAACGACGACATCCAGACCAGAAAGGTGGACTGCTGATGAGGGAAGGGCTGGCAGAACTGAGAGGAAGAGAGATCCATGAAGAGGGTGGAAAACAGGGAACCAATAAGTAACCAGAGGAGAAAAATATCAGGCCTGTCAAGAGAGAAATGCTGTTATAGTTTGGATGTGAGGGTCCCCCAAAAGCTCATGTGTGAGACAACGCAAAAAGGTTCAGCAGAAAAATGGTTGGATTAGGAAAGCCTTAACCCAATCAGTGAATCAATCCCCTGATGGCGATTAACCGTGGTAACTAGAGGCAGGTAGGTATGGCTGTAGGAGGTGGGTCACTGGGACATGCCTTTGGGATACGTATTTTGTTTCTGGAAAGTGGAGATCTTCCCCCTGCCCCCCCCCCACTTCCTGATCATCATGTGAGCTGCTTCCCTCTGCCATACTCTTCCACCATGTTGTTCTGCCTCACCTCGAACCCTGAGGAATGGAGGCTACTGTTTATGGATTGAGACCTCTGAAACCACGGGCCCTCAAATGAACTCTTCCTCCTCTACAAATGTTCTTGGTCAGGTCTTCTAGTGACAGCAGCAAAAAAAGCTGACTAAAACAAATTCTAAAGTTTGCCCAACCGAAAGTTTGGTATGGCTTCCTTCTGTGAACATGCCTTCTCCCTCCAAACCCAATGCCCTCTGTCCTGCCTAGACTATTCCAAACCATTTTCTATGCAGCTGCGACAGGGGCCCTTCCTGGTGCAGGTCTGATGGAGTTCCACAGGGTGGAGACAGAGACACTCCTTGCAGAAGGAATGCAACAATTGCTACTTGGCTTACCTTGAGGCCACAGCACCTGATGTGCAAGTGCTTGTGAGTGATGGAGTTGGAGTATTCCAGAAGTTGGGGATAAGGAAGGCGAGAGCATGGATGGTCTGGGAGCTAAGTGTGGCCATGAAGAAGGCAGAGAGTGGAGAGGTATGGAGGGTTCTAACCTGGGCCGAGGGAATGTGATCATAGGAAGGCTCCCAGGCAGAGGACTCAGCTGCCTCTCTCCCCCAGCCAGGCCTGAAGTCTGTGCCAGGTGATGCCAGCAGTTAGGGGAGGCTCGGGAGAGTCAGGTGAAGCCTGGGGAAGAAAAGAGTGATGCCTGGTCCTTCCATCATCACAGCCTCTGCTCTTTCTTCTGGGCCTCTCTCCCTCCAACAGCATAGCATTACTGAGCCATGAGTGTGGATGGAGCATTTGACATACCCAGTTAATCTCTTGAAATCCTCACACCATAACCCTGAGGGAATTACTATTATTCCCATTCCTCAGAAAGAAGAAATTGAGGCTGAGAGTGGTCACACTCACTCAAGGTCACAAAACAAACAACAAGCATTGGAGTAGAATGTGCCCTCAGGTTTTGCCAACTCCAAGCCTGTGCTGAGAGCAGAAGTGGTTTGGAAGCATAAGTCCAGCCCTGTGAGACAGCCCTGTTCAAGATACTCTGATTGGTCCTGAGTTCTCCTGAGGGGAAGATGTTTCTGACAGATGTTTCTCGGCATATGAAAATCCCTCAGGTCCACATGTGTGGGCCTGAGGAGGAGAAGGTCTCTCCTACAAAGCCTCCTGGGCCAAAGGAGAGCTCTGCTTCTCCAAGGTGGACACCAAGCACTCTACCTTGAGAGGGGAGCCGCCTGGGTGCAGCTGGATGTCTGACTGAACAAATTCTCACCAGCCCCTTGGGGACATCAGTCAGGCTGGCTGCCTTTGGCTAGAATTAAGAATTCTGCCTGTCGCTACCTGATAGTAGGACTACGGATAATTACTCAGCACACACTAGGTCAAATTTCACTCAAAAGAACTTTGTAGAGACCTCTAGGTTTCCCTCTCTGTCTTGAATTTTGCTAATATTAATCATTTCAAAGCTAAAGATTTTAAATGTGGTTGGCACCCCAGCTCCCTGAAGAAGGGACTCAGTAATTTTTCATTCTAAAGGCCTCTATAAACACAGGAAGGAAAGGAGGGGACTTTCCTGCCCACGACTCACCACTTCCACCCGCCCTCGGCCCCCTCCCTCCACAGCCTTCTCCACTTCCATCCCTGGTCCTTATGGTAGATGTCTTGGGGTTTAGCTAAGGGACATTCCTTGGAGTGGGTGGACGTTTGATGTGGTTAGGTGACTGGAAAAGAAGAATAATTGCCACATCAACACATGCTACTTTGTTATACAGTAGAATATGAAAATAGCTTTGTTGAACAGAATTCTCTATTAAAATGGAAACTTGCAACCCTCTGGAACATTTAAGGCTCTGACATAAAGCAATTTCTTCCTCGTTCTGTTAAGCTGCATCCCCAATGTTCAGCACCTGTGAAAACCTGCTGTTATTACGTAAATTTTCATTCATTTGTGGACTATCCCAGGGTCAAAGATCCCCAATCAGGTTCCAGCCTTTCTTGTTAACTCATTGTCCTCAAGATTTATGTAGTGTTCTCTCTCTAGCTCTTCTCTCCTAGCCATCTGTAAAGCTTGCAAAGGTCAGAATTCTTGCAAGACTCATTCCTGTCCAAGTCCCCAGGTGTAAAATGAGGCAGGCATGGTTTTGAAAGGAACAAATGAACTCAGCATGGTTTTTAAATGAACAAACAAGAACAGGAAACAAAATGACTTCAAATGGAACCCATGGAAAGAAATTAACAGGTGCTAAGCACTTACTCTGGGAATCAGGTATTTGGGCATGATTTCTCATTTCACACAAACCATCTTGAGAAATAGGGCCCACTAACAAATGAGAAACTAGGAAGCTGGGCGTGGTGCTGCACACCTATAATCCTAGTGGCTGGGGAGGTTGAGACAGGAGGATCATGAATTCAAAGCCAGCCTCAGCAAAAAGCAAGGTGCTAAGCAACTCAGTGAGACCCTGTCTCTAAATAAAATATAAAATAGAGCTGGAGATGTGGCTCAGTGGCCAAGTGCCCCTGAGTTCAATCCCTGGTAACCACCCCCTGCCCAAAAAGAGAGAGAGAGAAACTAGGGCACAAAGAGGTGAGTGGCCAACTCAAACTTTCCCCGTCAATCAGACACCTCATGTGGCTCTATCATTCTGCGGTATCTTTCAAATCCTATAGGGCAGTGAAGCAGTGGGGACCCAGGCTGCCCATTCAAATCCATCAAGGCTGTCACTGACCAACAGCAATTATGGTCCTCGTGTAACTACCAGACCATGTTAGGGATATCTTCAAAAGGTCCACACTCCTTCCCAAGAGCATGGATTTCCCCGTCAGCCCAACTCTGGCAGCATTTACCCACACCCTCCCCCTTTCCCCATTTATTCCTTTCATGAGCCATTTCAACCTCGTTTCTAACCTCAAATCCAAATATAAAGAAATTTTCCCTTCCTTAGTCCTAAAACTGAAACCTGGTTCTGCATTTTTGTTTTCTTCAAACCCTTCTTTATTCTGTAATAATAAAAATGCTGTATTTCATCCCAGGGCAGGCTGCGTGCCAAAATAAATAGCACCTTGGATTTCCTTGAAAAGAGAGCTTGGCTCAACACACAACCTCACTGCTACGAGAATTCTTGGAGAATTCAACCTTACAAAGTCAAATATTTAGCAAGGTAGTACACCCAACAGCAACCCACCCATCCCTGTACCATCGCTTGCAAAGACAAAGCACCCTTTCCAAAAGAGAGAAGAAATAAAAATCATCCATACCTGGGACCGATCCTGCCAAGATGATGGGAGCTTCGCTCTCCCCATCCCAGGACCCCCAAACCTCCAAATGGAAATGTTTTTGTGCTAAGAAGCAGGAGGCATCTGACAGCTTGTCATTGAAAGGGTTGAAGCCCGGCACTAGAGGAGGGCAGAATCTAAGATTTTGCCAACCGAGTTCTCCAGCGCGCTCACTTCCTGCCCTGAGAAACAGGGAGATAACTCATGCTCAGTGAAGAACAAATTAACACAATCTCATTAACCCCATTCCCACATTTCCCTGCAAGTGTCTGTCATTTTTTGCCTGCATTGCAGCAGCTGCATCTGGAGCTTCACGAAAAAAGAAAGAACAGTTGGGGGGAAAGCTTGTGTGCACATTACCTTCCCCAGCATCCTCCCCCTGCACAGCCTGGAGCGGGAAGGACTTCTCCCTCCCGCAAAGCCAGCTTGGGGCTGAAGGAAGGCAGCGGATTCCTGTGAGTTCAGTACTGCCCTCTGCTTC